TATTGGATAAAATTTTGTATGAAGTTGATAGCAGTGATATCCCTCGATAATTATTACAGTCAGTTTTATCACCCTTCTTATGAACTGGTACAGTAATAGACTCCTTCCACTGATCAGGCAATTTTGCCTTATGCCAAATAGAAGTAATTAGATTGTGAATCTTAGAATTTAATATTTCGCCTCCTGCTTGAATAAGTTCTGCCGGAATTTGATCACTACCTGGCGATTTATAACGTTTCAATTTTACAATAGCACTTTCAACCTCAAAAGGGCTAGGATCCGGTACTAACGGCTCATCTGTTTGGATTTCTGTCTGCCTAACATCACTGGCCCTATGTACATTCAATAATTGAGAGAAGTAGTTCCTCCACCTATTCAAAATATTGTGGGAATTTGCAAGCAGATCACCATTCTNATTCTCATCCTTCACTAAGTTACTGCTAGGCTGGTAACCCCTCTTAAAGTCATTTATTCCTCTATACAGGTCTCTAATGTTCTTGTTCTTACTGTTCATTGCAAGCTCATCGATTTTGTCTTTTAGATATTCCTTCTTTTCGTTCCTGAAATGCCTCCTGGTTTCGCGTCTTATATTGTTCAGATTTAGTGCAATATAATTGTTTAAAAATACCTGAAATTTTCTTTTTTTCTAAAAATCCTGAGTGAGGGCTGCAGGTGCCCAGTTTGCTGGATGTTGCAGGTGGAAGATGCCAAGACATTTGATTTATCTCAGATTTGAGGGTTTCATAGTAGTTGACTATGAAGGGTTCCATTTTCTGGGATGTAATACCATGCACATAATGTGACAACAGTTTACAGAAATTTCATAGATTGCTTGCTTGTTTGGTCTATTCTTTGACCCTGAAAGTGGAAGCAGTATCTTAAACTACATGTGCAGCACACACAGGAAGACAATACTCTTCATTAAAGCTCTGCTCTGAATTAACAAGCCTTGTCTCCCAAGAGGATTTAATCACTTTAAGTCACCACCAAAGCTACGATCTTATTATGTATGAATATATTGTGACATGTTGAGCTCTGAATGACGCCCCTCCCCCCCCACCCTNTACTTCCGAAAATCTGCGAACTATGCGCTCATGGTAATTACTCTTTTTGATACTACAATAAAATTTCCAAGTTTATTTCACTTCTCTCAAAGTAATTTGCTAGGACAGCTTAATTAGTTAACTGGCTGTCTATGGAGCTAGATGACCAGGACATAGAACTTCTCTCTTCTCGGCCATACTCATATAAGCAATGGGGCCCACACAGAGTTAAAGAATTATCTACATGCTCATTCCTTCTACTCTTTAGATGAATACTTCAATGTAAATAGAGAATGATGTAAAATTAAGTTATATTAATTTTTAAGCTAAAATTGCCTGTACTTATGTATGTAACCTTTTGACTTGTTCTGTATCCAAACGTACTAACCTGCTTAGGATTTATAGAATGTAAATAAATTCAATTCAATTCAACAACCAAATATCCATAGGATACTAATGGTTCTCCCTGGAACATGAATCAGTCAGTGCATGAAACCAACCACTCACCTCATGAGCCTAGATTCTCAAGTGCAGACACCAGATACTTTCATGAGCAATACAAAACGTTTTGTTGAAGTACTTTTCCAGTCTTGAGACATATCTTCCATAAAGATGACAAATTTCATTGCGAGTCTGTGCCACACTGCTACAACCCTTTATCTTCATTTCTTGACAATCAAGTACTCCAACCAACTAACAGAGGGAAATCTTTGGTTGGCTGTGGAAAAATTTTCAGCGAGAATGTTCTCATTAAGTTTCTGAAAATTTAGGTAACTGCATTTTCCCAGAGCTTTCTTTCAAATTGAAAATAACAATCTTCTTTACAGGATTTTACATGTATATTGTGTGTTCAAAGTTATGTGTCCATGAGACATATTTCTGACTTTTAAACGTGGCCATAGGAAATGTCTGCTTGAGAGTCAGTGGTCTCGAATGAAGGAAGCTTTACCTCTACCTGCATTCTACAACTCTTAATGGCATTGTACTTACACACAAGAGCAACTCATATAAATATAATTGTCTGGCATCATGAACTAAAAATCTACAGATAAATGTTCCCAGTTTGTGTAATTTATGTCTACAGGTTACACCTTCAACGAAATAACAGAGATGAATAATAAGATTTTTTAATGATTTTAAAAATACTTTGTACAGTACGTGGTATTGAACTACACTTTAATATTCTTTAATAAGACAAGTCATAGAAGTTAATACAAAATACTTCAGCATTTCAAATAAATTGACTGTAACGTGAATTTACATGATAAGAAACATTTACTCACATAAAGCTGTTTTTTCTGAATGGTATGGAATATCTCAAGACACAGGACATAACTTGCCCCCTACTGTATTCAAAGTACTACATCATTCTGGAAGATAAAGATGTACTTTAATGTCTACTCTAACTCTACAAGGAATCCACAAAAGAGAACAATTAAAAATATCTATATTTTCCAATATAAAGATGTGAAAGCACTATACTGCATGTAGATGCATACAAAAATTAACAAACCAGACTAAAGAAGCTCACTGCATACTCTGTCCACTCTCTTCCAGCTAAATTAAGCTTTCTTGACAGAGTATCATTTCATTAGATTACACTCTACTATATACTAAAAGATGTGAAAAGTAGAAATGATTATTTCACATCTTCCTTTACACCGGAGTAACGGTAAATTAAAATACTGCAAGGAACTTATTACCAAGCTGATGATGCTGCTTTGTTTAAAAACATTAAAAGTTTGAAAAATCTCAATACCTAAACAAAACAAAAATTNTCTTCTGGGATTTGGCACCGTGTATATGTGGTGTTAACCAACGTTTCGGAGGAACGTCGGTTAACACCACATATACACGGTGCCAAATCCCAGAAGACTGCTTTCTTCATAGTCACCGCCGTGAGAGCCTCAAATCTTACATAAAACAAAAATTTTACTAATTATCTGTTTCTGACGTGTATAAAAACAGTACAGCCTTCTTTCATGTCTATTAGAAACAAGTGCTCCGTTTCTAAGTTGATATGACTGTATTTTTCTCAAGTTCATAGTACCGTGATAACATCGTTTTGAATGTGCCCACTCTTTAAGCTCATGTGATTGTACATTTTTAAGTTCATAGTGCTACAAATAACGTTTTAAATGTGCTTCTTAAAGTGAGGATTCTTCAGAATTAAAGCTAGTTGTAACTGTACATGAAATCAAGTACAGAAAACCAACACACACACACCTTGAAACACAGAAAACAGTGTTCTAAACCACAGCATCCTTATTTGGTTTTCTTAGTACAGTAGTTGTGATACCTCCATGCTCCGTTATGTATATTCTGGTATACTCTTTTCTACTCAGATAAGGAAAGACAATTCCAACAAATGGCACCCAAATTGAGCAAAATAACATATTCTTACAAGTAAAAAGAGAATTCCTTAACATCCATCAGAAAACACATTTCTAACAGCCTCTTTCTGATACCATTACGTCAACCAACATGTATATATCTCTCTTCAATAGTAAACCAGTCCATGGCTTTTTTAATGATTTTAATGGTTTCGTTACTTGCATCCAACACACCACTCTCAGTAAGATGAAAGTGGCTAGTTCATACTGCCTTTACTGCGCATCCAACAGCTGAAGGAAAAAAAAAAAAAAAAAGCAAGATGCTGACTTTAACACTGATCAGCCAGGCTCCACATCCAATTTATAACATACTGTGTTCTTAGATCTCCATCTGGAACTGATCTTGTGGCTCTTCACTCACAGCATCTGCAACAGAGTCAAAAACTACATTTCATGCACCAAAACAGGGAACATGTCCGTAATTATGGGCAAATAAATGCTTTCACCCAAGTTTGGGCATCAAATCTGTACTGTTTTAGTGAGATAACTCAAATATTTCAGTATTTAAAATCTTCACTTACATATACACTATTTGGCACAACCACTATGCTGTTATCAATATTACTAAGTATAGCCTATGTCTTTTTGAAGCTAACAGTCTGTAAAAACAAGGGCTTCCAACTTGCTCATTAATACAGGGTGGGACACAGAAACTTCCTTTTTGTGAAGGGAGGTGGGTTGCAGAAAAGTGGGGATAGGCTCGGCGAATGCAGCAGTCGCCGAAGTTTCTGTCTAACACCTCTCAGTAGGAAACATGAGGTGCACGAGTGAGCAGCGTGCATTTGCTGTCAAAGCCTATTTTTCAAACAACCATTCCTATGTGGCGGTGCAGCGTCTGTTCTGTTCTCACTTCGGAATTAAGCCAAGAGGCCTGGTTCCCAACCGGAAATCGATTGTTTTGTGGGTAGAGAACTTTACAACAACCGGGAGTGTGGTGAAAAAATCATCAGGATGACAACGGACCGTTACGACACCAGAAAACGTGGAGGCAGTTCGACAGTCAATTTTGAGATCTCCAAGACGCTCCGTTCGCAAACATGCAGTCGTCCTAGACATATCCAATCATTCAATGCGCCGAATTCTTCACAAACATCTTCATTTCCATCCCTATAAGATGGTTGTGCAAGAATTGTCACCATGTGATTTCCAGAACCGAATAACGGCGTGTGAAACGTTATTCGAAACTTTACCCCCTGACGCACTTGTTTTCTTTAGTGATGAGGCACATTTTTACCTAGCCGGATATGTCAACAAGCAGAATGTGCTCTATTGGAGTGGTAACAATCCCAGAGAGCTCCATGAAAGGCCACTTCACAGTGATAAGGTGACAGTATGGTGTGCATTGTCGAGAGTTGGAGTTATTGGCCCTTATTTTTTTGAAGAAGACAATCATGAAGTTACTGTCAATTCACAGCGGTATGTGGACATGATTAAAAACTTTTTCGAACCAGCTCTTGAAGAAATGCATCTATGAAATGTCTGGTTCCAACAGGATGGTGCCACAGACAACGCAGCCCAAGTTTCGATGACAGTTTTGAGGGCAAAGTTCCCCAGACAGCTCATCTCTCTTCAAGGTGACATACCGTAGGCAGCGCACTCACCTGATCTAACGCTCTGTGATCTTTTATGGGGATACCTCAAGGCAGAGGTTTTTAAACATCACCCCACAAACCTGCTTCAGCTGAAGAATGTTATTTCGTAGGTAGTAGCCCAAATTCCGGTGCACATGTTGGAATGTGCAGTGGGGAACTTCAGAAAACGATTGCATCAGTGCTTATAGAATGGTGGCCACCACCTTCAAGATATTTGGTTTAAAACTACATGATTTAAAACTTTAACGTATGTTCTTTCATTAGCTAAACATAAATTTTGTCTATTGGCAATAATTTTTCTTTTATTCGCCTTCAAAAAAAAGGAAGTTTCTGTGCCCCACCCTGAAATATTATCACTGCCACCACCTATCACTATCACTGTAATTATCATCTTCAGCCACATGCTGTAGGTCAGAGCCACTCCTTCAAGTAGTAACTGCCTTTGACCTAGCACCAAACCTCCCAGACTGTACCATTCTCACATAACTGAATTCTGAATTTGATATTTCTGCTCTTACTTGGTACCCAGACAGAAAACATATTCTATACATACAACAGCTTGGTTCATTAAAAAAACAGAAGGCTTTTTTGCTGCTGAAAACAAATTAAAAAATGCAAAGGTCCCACAAGCTCAAGGATGCAATCATACTACACTCCTCTCAAGGCAGTGATTGGCAAGAACAATGAAATGGGTTAATGGTCTTCAAATGCTAAGCAGCCTCAAACCTGCACCATAAAGTATGTTCAATATGATAAATGATATAAACTCCGTCTCAAGTGCAAACAATATATTTTGTGTCTTTGATCTTGCTTCCCCACACTACATGTTTCGGCCTCAGACGGCCATCATCAGGTGTATAACACTCACNTTAGAACTAAAGATTTTATTATGGTGCCATTACAATAAAGTAAAATTAACGTGTGTGAAATAATCTACGAGCCAGACAGCTATCAACGGATTGGAAGTTGATAATGACAGGGAGAGTGTTTTAGATGTTAAATTTTGAGCTGGGTGCAGTGTGACAGCGACGTGAGTGTTATACACCTGATGATGGCCGTCTGAGGCCGAAACATGTAGTGTGGGGAAGCAAGATCAAAGACACAAAATATATTGTTTGCACTTGAGATGGAGTTTATATCATTTATCGTATAGAGTGCAACAGGATGCTTAAATATAATAATGTTCAATATGTACCTCACGACACGAATGCAGACAGCTTCACTAGAAAGTCTATTCAAATAACAAAATCCAGTTGTTTTTAATTAATTAAAACTGAAGATGCATATTAGACACAAAAGAGTGCTCACCCTTCTTTGTTGGACTTGGTATGATATTGGCATTTTCCTTGGGTATGTCAACACCCTTCATCAGTGATGCAGGGAAATTGGGATAGTTTTTGGGTGGCGTCCGGGCGATTGGAGAGTTCCTGAGTTGCATAAGAAATGCTCTCTCATACACAATTCGTGTGCCTGCAATAAGTGAAAGTATATCTCATAAGATTAAAAAAATCTGAATCTCTCTCTTCAGCAAAGGTTAAATTTTATTTACATAAACATAATGAACAGTCTAAACAGAAATTCATTCTGAAATTAAAATGTTTTTAAACTTAAAGAAACAAGATTAGTACTAATGAAATATATTAAACTTCCTTAACCAACAAAAGACTGGAAACCACTGTTGTACACACACAGGTAAACAATCCAGACTGCTTCCAAATGTGTGAATGACATGTAAGCATGTCTTATACAGGGACAACAGAACTTGTGAAAAGTATGACTTTCATTTGGTTTACAATTGTGTGACATAAATTCAGTTATTTTTATGATCTTTGTATAATTTTAATAACATTGCCCTTTGTGCACTCAACTTATTCATTTTCATTTAACTCAATTTTATTTATTCTGCTACATGTAATATATCGACCTCACAATTTGGCAACATGTGACTTAATCTAGAAGTAAACACAGACACAACCAAAATACAAACCTTTAAAAATGTTGCAGCGTTCAAATCTCTGGCAAAAATGGTAAAAATCAAAGTGCATTCATTAAGAAATTAAAAGCAAACAAATCTCGGGAATTCTTGCTACCATGCACTTGGCCAATTTCGCACCTTAAGGGATGCACATACAGTGAGAATATTTGGACCTAAAATATGCCAAATAGCAAGAAGCTGACAAATTCAAAATGCAGATTCATGATTGTACTCTTCACCAAACATTGCTAGGGTAATAAAATCAAGGAAGAGAAAGGTAACATGCCTGGGACAGATGGATTTATACTAACATCGCAGGAAAGCCACTTTGGAGATGTAGGTACAGATGGAATAATAATATTAACATGGTCTTTAAAGAAATATACAATATGGACCTGTTTAATATGGCTCAGGATAGAGTCCTATGGGAGCTTCTTTTGAACACTATGATGAACCTTTGAGGTATTTATTAAACACTCTTGCGATTATTAGCATCTCAAAAATGTCCCTGTTCCACAGGGTTCGTTATCAGTCTGTGTATCTGGTACAAGCAGCTCCACCAAAGGAGTGCACTACGGATGCAATTACGTGAAATCCACTACACTAATGCACAACAGCACACTGCAGGCCTACCTCCCGGTGTGGTCGAGTATACCGTTCCTCCAGGCGTTGTAGAGTAATCTATGGGAAGCTGTGAAGCATCATTTATTACGACTCTTCTTGAAGGGATTGTCTGGCACTGGGTGGCTTGTCGAGCAATCGGAGAAGCCGACATAATTGAACCTACTAAATACTGAACTACTAGGAAACAACGGAAGGCGGCTTAAACTCGTATGATTTTAGCTGCTTGCTTTTAGTTCTCTCTACCGTGCCACTCTTCCTCAGCACACCTTGCACAGTACGCTCCGTCGACCAGAAATAAACAAACAACAAGCAGGTGCAATTCTGAAGTCAAAGTAAAGGCTGTAAAAATAGCTCTAGCTCTCTTTGTTTGTATCTAGATATGTAAATCTATATATTTTTAATATGTGCAAATACTTAAATGAATCCAGAAGTAACGCTACTTTCAACATACATATGCCAAATTTAACTTGCACAAACTGAAAGCCAAATAGAGTCTGAACTCATGTACGTAGTACCTCCAAGACATATCTTTGCCGAACTGCGCAGAATGGCGTTGTTGAGTCATTCAAGGCGGCTCAAGGCTGACATCTGGTGAATAGAAAAGCCGTAACCTGATTTTATCATACATTTGACTTCTTGGTAATACAAAAACTTTGAAATACATTGTATAAAAAATATATATTTCAGCTGAATAAAACTTTACTTGTGAAATAGTTAATATGTTATATGTTTCGGCGGGTTTTCTTGACGATGGCGAACCAGAACCACCGAAATATGTAATCTTTTAACCACCTTTTAATTACTTTACACTGAAAATTGTATTTCACTGAAATATTTACTTTATATACACTTAATTGTTATATTGTTATAAGAATGCATTCATGCTCTTTTAATCTTAAAATGCAATGCATAAACAATTCTCACACAACATGCCATTAAATTCCAATGGGCATTCCGAAAATATTCTAAGTGGAACAGGACAACTTCAGCGACTTCAGCTGACCGCGTAAGTGCGACAAGAGAACACAGAACTCAGACAGGGAGTTCCAAGCACAACTCTCAGCCTACTTTCCCATTGCATGGGTTTCAAGTTATAGAAATTTATTCCCTTTATTACTATATTTTTTGTCAAGAACTTATTGCTAAAATACAAGAAGGAAAGAAATATTTGTCTTGAATATCTACAGCGGATGCCGCCAGAAAGACCTCCCAAGCAACTTTCGCCCTATCATCAAACGATAAGAAGACGTCCTCCAGGACGGCCAAGAAGAAAATGGCTTGAAGTCTGAAGGCGGAACGCGGTAACAAGCTCAACCCTTGCAGTTGATGATGATGCACTTATTATGTAAGCACAGACTGGTAGTGTACTCCAGTATTTTATACATACTCTGTATAGATCACTCTTGTCAAATATAACCCATAAGTTTCGCACCGTGGCCATATTTGCAATTACTGACTTTAACAAATAGTCTTTCGTTCCGTACATAAAGTATAGGTATGTTTATAATCTGTCTCTATACTGAATTTTACAATGTTTAATTAGTCATCGCTATCAATCTGAAAGGAAATATTCACACCGCCGCTATGTTGTTATATTGCATTATACAAGAAATTTACGTAATGAGAATTTGCATGTTCCTCCACGATATATTACCATACGTTATTTGAAGTCCCTTGTTACGTGTCTCTAAGCTCTTGCATCAGAAGATCCAAGACATATTTTCATTGCGATTGTAGGACATCAAGAAATACTGTGTTGGAATGGGTTCCAGTAGCATACGGTACATACAGTCTTTTTTGAAAATCGATCAAGTGGTTCAAACGTTGAAACTGGAACACACAGGCAGCAAGGTGGCCCCATAAACACAGGTGTGACAATTTAATTCCCGGAATGGCCCTCTGAAAGCAAAATTGTTCTTATCTGTTCACTAGCGGCTGCTATTGCCGACGAAATATTCTCCTTGTAATGCTATGCACTTCGTGAGACGATGATGCCACTGCCAGAGAGTTTTCAAAATCGTTTTCCGGAATACTTCGCAGTAACGTCAGGTTGCGTTGGATGTCAAGAATGTCAGCAATGTCCCTTCAGGGCACTTTTTTTATATTTTGGAAAGAGCCAAATGTCGCAGGTGCTAAGTCAGGTGAATAAGGTGGATGGTCCATTTTTGTAATGGATTTCTTAGCCAGAAACTCGCGAAAACTTAACGCATCATGCGCAGGGACACTGTCATGGTGGAGAATCCACTTGTCAGGGCAGAGTTCAGGTCTTTTCCTCTGAACAGATTCCGGTAACCTTGTCGGCACTTACAAATAACACTGTTGATTCACCGTTTGTCCTCGTGCAATGAATTCATAGTGAACTATTCCCTTGTGATCGAAGAAACACACAAGCATGGTCTTGAACTGCGCGCGAGACATGCGTGCTTTTTTCGGCCGATGTGAATTCTGTGTTTTACACTGCATGCTCTGACTTTTTGTTTCCGGGTCGTATTGAAAACACCACGTTTCCTCACGGCAATGACCCTATCAAACATCTCTGCATTGTGTATAAGATCAGATGAAATGTGAATCCGACGTTGTTTCTGGTCATCTGTCAAGATTCGAGGCACCATCTTTGCGGAAATTTGTCTCATTCCCAAATCCTCCGTAATAATATGTCGCAATGTTTCCTTATTCATATCCAAGTCTTCTGCTATTAGTCTCACACCTAATCTTCGATCTGAGCGCACCAAGGCTCCTACTCTGTCCACGTTTGCATCTGTCCTTTGCGTTTCTGGCTGCCCACTTCTTGGGTCATCTTGCACACTTTCTCGCCCTTCTCTGAGCCGCCTGTGCCGTTCAAAAAGACTTGATTTCTTCAAAGGGTATTCACCATAAGCCACTGTTAATTGGGCTAACGTTTCACTAGCACTGTTACCAATCTTCACACAAAACGCGATATTTATCCGCTGCTCCAGAATCTTGTCACTCATTTTTCTGCCAACAATATACCAGGGACAGGTACTACTTCCTTCGCTACTTGGGAACGAACGACTCACTTAGTCTGTGGCTCATGTAAACGCAAGCTGCAACATGTCCAAATGTGCTTGGGTACATGAGTTTGCCTGACTCAACACCCCAGCGACATGCTTCGGCCATTCCGGGAATTAAATTGTCACACCTTATATGTTTCCCCTTGATGAACAGCAGGATAAGAAAGATAAAAGAAATAATAAAATAAAGACTGATTTTTTATTTTGGAAATAATTCGTATGGTTTTATTTTAGTAATGGAAATATGTTTTAGTAAAATTGAGAAACACCGCTTGCAATTTCTGACTATAGTTTGCTCTTCAACAATGAACCGATGACATCGCAATTCACATAAGTTTTCCTGTCTTGCTTACATCTTAATTTGTGCTGACGACAGCGGCGATACATGGCGAAAATGAGTGCTGATATAATTTTTGTGTGGAATGTGAAGCAATGTCAGCGAACCCGCTAGATATTTATATGTTTATTTTCCGTCTGATGAGGTAATAGACGAGCCACAGTAGCCAAGTGCTAGGGAAAGGTGATAGACTATAACAGAACTATGGAATTTGTAATAAACCTACTAACTGATGGGTCAGAGACATTCTTAAGAACTGACCAGTCACTTATCTGGTCAAGAAGTTTATCCTGTTCTTCTGTAGGGACCGATAGGTTTATTACCGTCTTCAAAAGAATGTTTTATATTTCACGCACTAAAAATTACACGAAGAAGACCTGTTTTAATGTTGAGTTCTGTTAAGAAATGTGTTCTGAAGGTCACAACAAAAAATTTTTGTGTGAGTCAGGAACCTGCAGACGTATCTTGTAAGTTAACAGCACGAACAACAAAAACAGTTCTCCAAATCCAATTGCAAATCTTTCTTCACGAGCATGCAAATGAGTATATTTAACTATGACCCGATTTACCGGGTATAGGCCTAATATCCTGATAATTCGAGTTCACTTTTTGCTTAGTAAATCAGAATTGGACCAAGTTTCTCACTATTCTCATGCCTCTCGCGTCGTCTATTTCATCGCATTGGTACCCCATTAATACCTCATTATCGCTATTAATGTAGACGTCATTTAACGCCGAAGGAGCAGAACGCACGTTTGAATAAGGCCTCATTCACGACAATGAAACTCAGCCGCAACGCAACGGCGATTTCCGAGAATTGTTATGAGCCCGAGTTGAATACATGTTAGTCAATGGAGCAGTGCAAATTGAGGAAACGGCAACGCAACCCGCGAAGAGACTCAGAAACTCAATTTCCAGGCAACGGAGCATACCAGTCTTCTCACAACGGCGTTGCCGCGTGATTTCCTAGTATCAACTGTTCTGTAACGCGCTTCAGTGATTCATTTGTTTGTTAAGGTGGCACGAAAGGTTGATGAAGCTGCTGTTGTTTTTCTGCAGTTAACTGAGCAAGAGCCTGGTATATATGACAAACGCCACTCAGCCTATGCTAGGCGGGACAAAGTAGATTTGACTTGGGAAATAATTTCTCATGAGAGGAAGAGTCTGGATTCAGGTTAAGTTCTTTCGAAACAATTTAAGCGTTTCTGTTCAAACTGTCACAGAAGAACGGATGCACCGAATGTTTTCTTTCCCTAATATTGTATTTAAGCATCCTGTTTGCATTAATATATCATTTGTTTCACATATATTTCCGTCTTAAATGCAACTTATTATATAGTCGCCCTTCTTCCACATTATATGATTCGGCTATATACGGCCTTCATCAGGTGTCTTCTGTCTTTATAAAATTGTTGCACTGTATCACAAAATTTCGTTTCGCGTGTGGACGCGTTATATCTTGATTAAAATAAATTGACCTTAATTAAGACAAATTAATTAACATCCCAATATTCCCTTTATGGTCGCCGTCCTCTCTTCTCATGCCGTCTCAACTACCACCATATTATGACAGGATCAGCACTGAAGAAAGCAGTCTTCTGGGATTTGGCACCGTGTATATGTGGTGTTAACCGACGTTTCGGAGGAACGTATCGCCTCCATCTTCAGGGTAGAAGAAAAAATATAAGAAATCTGCAAGCGAAGAGATCGTGACGAAGACACAGTCTGCTTTTACCGGTTCTCACGGTCTCTTCGCTTGCAGATTTCTTATATTTTTTCTTCTACCCTGAAGATGGAGGCGATACGTTCCTCCGAAACGTCTGTTAACACCACATATACACGGTGCCAAATTCCAGAAGACTGCTTTCTTCATAGTCACCGCCGTGAAAGCCTCAAATCTTACATAGGATCAGTATTATTATCTTCCATTGCAGAAGGTAAGTTCACGAAATTAAAAAATACAACCATGCATTACGTCGGACGAACATGCCCACTTAAGA